TTCCACACGCTTAACCCTAGGAAGGTAACTTCCCTCCAGGTGGTAAGAGGATGGGTAGGGTTTTGTCAAGGGCCAGGACGTGGGTGGCAGGAGGCATGAGAGAGGCACCAGGACCAGGGCTGCAGAACTTGTGGCAGGATAACCAGGCAAAGTTCAGGAGCAGTGAAGGTGTGGCAAGCAAGGTAAGGCAGGGTATACAGCAAGGGTCAGGCAAAATACAGGCACTAAAGCAAAGAATAAGACCTGTGTTGCTGAGGCGACATGGCAAGGTAGGACACAGCAAGGCAGAAACCAGATTCAGTAAAGGTCAGGCAAGGTGCAGGAGCTGAACCACCCCACAGCTGGCAGGAAGACCTGCATTGCTGAGGTAAGACAGTGAAGCAGGATCTGGGTCAGGCACTGCAGCGAACAGGAAGGCCTATGATGCTGAGGCCAGGTCTGGAGGGAAGAGCTTGCTCCCTGCTGGTGCTGACCAGGAGTCTAAGAGCTCCAGCAGGGCCTGGGACCAATCCTAAACCTGCAGGATGGGGTGAGGAAGATTAACTCCTGTCTTTACAACATGATCTCAATTTGGGGGTCAGTGTGGTGAAGTGGGAACAGACTCACACTGACTCACAGCCTAACTACCCTGTAGCCGCCTTGAAAGCAAGAAAAAGGAAAACTTGGGGGAAATGTCCCTAATAAAATAATAATCCAGCTTGCCCCAAGTGGCTGCTGTTGTTAAAGAAAAGGCACACTTTTCACTGTATGAAGGAAACTCATTCATACATTTGTCCTTCTTGATCTGGCCCCAAGTTTCATATTTAGGCACTATTTCGCACATAGATTAGTCAGTATTTGAGGTCTGCAACATACAAGGGTTGAACATTTTTAAAATAAAGCTATGCTTTTTCTCACTTCCACTTTCTTGAGGAATGGGAGTTCATTATACCTTTCAGAACAAAGAAAAATAGAATTTTAAGCTGCGGGCCTTTGATTAGATGACTAAGCCAACCTTTTCTCATTGCCTCTCTACAAAAACAAATGTGGGAATCACTAGAGAGTTTCATCCTTCTGAGAATGAGATGCTGAAGAAAATGAAACCCTACTTCCTTCTTATTCCACCCCCAATCAAAGAAAGGATTTTGACACTCTGTTATTTCCCTGTAGGTCTCCATGTCAGCTGAAAGGTGAAAGGAGAGCAGAGGAAAGGGGAAGGTCCAGGATTAACCAAGAGCACTCAACTTCTCTTTCCCTCTCTGGGTTTTACTGGCACAGCAGAGGAATATGCAATGCTCAGTGGGTGCTGTCAGTTACGCAAGCCATGGGGGTGTCCGGCTGGCACCACTCATTTCATTGATTACCCCCGCTGAAGTTCTGAAGCCATTCCAGGACTCCATTCTTCAAAGGAGACTGCCCTGATCACACTCGCACTGTTCAGTTGCTGTCAGACATGAGCAGATGACATTTGACTACAACATACACTCCTATCTACTCAGAAGTAGGTCTCAGTGGAACTTACAGTAAAGTAATGCACGTTGTCATGCATGAAGGGTTCTGCACCACAACATTTGTTTATCTGTTAAAATTTGTGTACACTGTCCTGCCTCAGAATTGCTCAAGGCAGCTAACAACACAGGTCAGATCCTGGGCAGCTTTCCTGTGGACACTGATGCTTCTGTACATTGCACTGTGCATCCGAAAGGGACATGCAGGGGAAGGCCAGTGCTGGGGAATCTTGTTAACATTAAAGGTACTGTGCCTTTGTACTAAGCTCCTATGTACACAGAGATGGGTATGTGGAACATCCAAAAAGAACAGAGGCAAAATACTCCCCTATTCTACAAATGTGGTTAACACAAACACAGACACACCTCATGCATAAATTTTAAAGCATCAGGCAAAACATACATCCAGCCTCCATTTCCCACTGTCCTTTGCAGCCTGATGTTTCCATTTTAAGAATTTATTATTATTTGCATTTATTTATATACCATTTGATTAGCACAGTGCTCTCAGAACAGTGTACAAAATATAATTCAAAATGCCAAATAACCACCATTTAAAAACAGATTTAAAACGAACACATCTGCCATAAAACATTCCCATGACAGTAAAATTTGACAGGCATATATAACAAACAGTGAACAATAAACCTTAGAATACATAATAACCACTATTCCATGTGTACTAAGACAATTGAAAAGCCAACATAAACCCAAATACAATACAATTAAAGTGGCAGGAAAATAAAGAAAAAGTTTTAACCTGACACCTATATATATATATATATATATATATATAACATTGGTGCCAGGCATATTTCCCTGGGGAGGTGATTCCACAGATGGGGTGTCACAACCAAGAAGACCCTTCCCCTTGTAGCTACCTCCTTTACTTCCTTCAGGGGCAGCTCATGGAAAAGGACTTCATAGGACTTCTATAGATGATCTAAGGGTCCAGGCAGGTGTATACTAGACGTAGCATTCTTAGAAATAAAGATGAAGGCCTAAACATGTATATTTTTTAAAAATGGATTCATAATCAGGGAGCCCTGCAGGTACCAGGGAAGGTGTCTTTCCCAATGTGGGGGGAAGGGGTAGGAGGCACACGTACTGTGTTGGAGACCCCAACCTTAAAGAATATTGACCCAACTTCCATCATATCTGTCATGGGCTTGACTTTCAAAAGCATATTATGCTCCTACATTGGAGGGTTTCAGCCACATCTATCCTTTCTTCCAGCCAGAAATGGTGCTAGGTACCAAAAAGATCTGGGACTCGGGCCCCTGTACCTTTATATCAAGAAGTTCCCCTGCACTGTGGTATGGTAGAGCAGATGGGGTCCCAGTGATTTGAGTCTCCAACTGGAAGATTTGGAGAGCCAGCCCTTGTGGTCTGTTCCCTACATTGCCTCTATTTACTGCCCCAGGGCCACTTTCCATTATGCACATCTGCCCCTAACACCTTTTGGACTGAAAGATGGTAAAAGGAGTGCAGCCAAAGACATGTTAATTCTTGAATTTATATCCCAGTTTCCTCTAAGAAACGTCAAGCAGCGTATGTGATTCCACCCCACTTCATTTTATGTCTCTTTATTACTTTTCTATACTGCCCGGTAGCCAAAGTTCTCTGGGTGCTTCACAAAAATTAAAGCCATAAAATATTAGATGATTGCATACAGCGTAAAAGTTTAAAAGTACAGTATGAAAAATAAAATAGCAAATCAAAATCAGGAACACAGCCAAAATTTAAAATATAGTACTAGATTTAAAACAGAAACTGAAGAAGTAAAATACTTGGAAAATTTAAAAAATCATTATATAGTATTGAAAGCTTACTTTTTATCTAGGTTTCCCTACAGCATTCCTAGAGACATGAAGGACTGGAGGGGGGGAACGCCCTTTTACCAAATTTCATTTTTAAAAAAGGAGAAAAAGGAGGATTTTTGCGGGCAGGGAACAGAAAAAAAGTTTTTTCCCTGTATGCTTCCATTTTTTCCCAGACCTTCACATCTTTTAAAATTCCTATAAAGTAGATTAAAGTGTGTGTGAGAGAGAGTTGCCTAAAGTCATCCAGTGAGCAAGATGAGATTTGCACCTAAGTTCTAGTGTGCCAAATTGTCACTTGTACTCATCTAGTTACTAGGTTTTGCACTACTCTCATAGTTGCGATGCATCCATTTAAACATACAAAGCTAACATATTTAAAAATATTTATTAAATGCCTCCTAAAACAAATTAGGAGACTCGGGGAATGCCCCTTCCAGATGTTGTTGGACTAGTATGGTCAATGCTCAGGGATGATGGGAATTGCAGATAGGGATGTACGGATCTTCTTTAATCCATTCCATGTGTGTTTTGTGGCTTGTGAGGTGTCTTCCACTCCATTGTGCATTCATTTACAAACAGGAGTGTTTCTCCTCAAAATTGCCTGCGTATCAAGTTCAGAGGCAGCACGCCTCCAAATAACTAGTAGCCAGAGGCAACTGTAGGAATAGGGCGAACTCCACTCCAGGAGACAGACAATTATTCCGAGGCAGAAGGATTATTCCCACTTTCCTGTTTGAATGCCATACTGATTAGTATTAGTATTTTCATGGGTCTACAGGTATCAAACAGTCTTCGCAAGGAATATTTTTTCTTTATCTAAAGGTTTAATTGTCTTTATCCTACTCCTCAACAAAATGGATGAGACATGACACACAAGGAAAATAGAATGAGGAGGGTAGACAAGCCCATGTTGATGCTGCAAAATGCCTGGGAAGCAGGATGAATTTGCAAGAAGAGCAGCAGATGATTTCTGCAACACAGAGTAAAAAAGAACACAAACATCCATGGAGAAGGGCCAGGGTTGGCCCTGCTTCAAGGCAGAGTGAGGTAAACGCTTCAGGCAACAGAAGTTGGACACAGCATTTTCTCCGCAGTATCTTGGGAAGGCGGGGGGTGTGGGGGGAGAACGGGCGTGGATTATAGTGTTGTTCCATTGTGATGCTTTATTGTTGTTTTGGTTATATATTTTATGTTTGCCACTCTGGCAGCATTCTTGCAAGCAGTATATTCATTTGAGTAATAAGTACACAATGTTAAGTGGGTGGGTGGGGGAGACTGGAAGGGAACTCACCAGTCTCTTCTTCTACCATTCCTTGCCCATGATTATAGCTCCAGTGGACAAAAAATTAAGGGGCTGTTTGTGCCTCCCTACAAGGTCTAGTTTGGCCATGAGCAAGACCCTGGCCTTGTTGCAATCATGCTGATTCAACAGTTGGCAGTTTGCCATGTTCTATCATGCTCAGCTAACCAAAGACTAAGGCAGACACAGATAAGAGAAAAAAACACCACAAGTTCCTTCTCTCCCCTTCCCCTGCCTCTTTTCAGCTGCATGCACTCTGAGGGCATTTACAAACAAAAATCCGTCTACAGAATAAATGTAATACCTACACTATTAGAACACACAAACTGCACAACGGTTTCTCTTACTCCTATCTACCAAGTGCGATCCATCAAGTGAAATGCAGCCTACCAGAGTCTGGGGATCTGCCATGGGGCTGAGAAACTTGTTTGCGGAGCCTGCTTGGAAGTACAAAAGCATGCAGCAGGGTGTGCCACCTGGCAGGACAGGGAACCTGCCCGGTAGAGCAAGGTTGGCTCAGTGGCTCAAAGCTTGTGCCGCTTCATCAGCTGGTCTGGTGGGGAAAAAGAAAGATGAATGTAGTTGCTTCGTATGCCACATAGCTGGTTTTTCAGATATATGGAACTAAAACTCAGACGTTGTCCGTCACCACAAGGAGTTTGCAAAGCAGACATGGTAGTCAATTCCTTTTGGCTTTTATAACTACTTTAGGACAAGCGATGAAAATAATGATAAAATGTGGAACTTACCATGCTTGAAGAAACCCGGCGTGTGCTCTCAACCCAGCCTAAGTTGTAGTGTTACAAGCGGAACATTTTCTTTGTTTCTTGCCCGGAACTTCCTATTTTGTAAGTGTCAAGTGGTGTTTATCCAGCCTTTGTAGGAAAAACCTAACAGTACCATCCATAGTTTGCATATCATGATCTAGCATCAAAGAGGGTTTGTTGCTGTAGCTTAAGTATATACTGAAGTACTAGGAGGGTAAGGGACCTTGAAACTATATATACTGATGACTATAAAAATGTGTAAACAAACAACTATCAAGATCCCCATATTAATACACCCAGTGCACCCTTTTTATTAATATTTCAGTTCTGAATTTTAATTTCAACCACATACATTTTCCTTTTATATTTATTTCCTGCATTTTTATATTCTGAGCCATTTTCTATGCAATTTTCTAGCATGTATCCCTCATTCCCCTACTCACAGCATGGAATCGTTAAACAATGTCATGAACCTCCAATTTTATTTTGGTTTTCCAACACACATTTTGGAGCAGGGAGATTGTAGTATGATTTGTGCAAGCAAAAGTAAACACTCCCCCCCCCCACTTCTGTAATTATTCTATTGCAGTACACCTCATGGGCACCTGGAAGTTATGCAGCAGAAAAACAGGACAGGGAAATCATGTATTGCTTGGGTCTAGCGGTAACTTTGAAGTGTGGGTGCTTGACAGTCCCTGTCACTGCACCCCAAGGAGGTTCCAAAAACTCAGCCAGCTCTTTCAGTCTGTAGCAATCAACTAATCTGAGCAGTTTTCCTTTGCACTCCAAGCAGAACTTTTTGCAAAGTGACTGGGGTCTTAATGGCCCATTCAAGACCAAGCAGCCCCCAAATGCTTTGCATTAACAACAAGAAACAAGGTATTGGGGTTGGAAAATTACTCTCCCCAGGGGATCCTTAGCTCAGTTCAGAGGAACAGGAATTGGGGGGAGGCAGGGCACGTGAAGTCAGGGCCTCAGCTATTTTTATACAGGCTTTAAAAATGCTTTTGCTTAAAGTGCTGAGGCTGCATCCTTGGGGCCCTTGCTTCGCTACAGCACTGGTCAGGATATGGCCACATCCTGGGATAGCATGCAGGGGGCAGAGAGACAGTTGGAAGGTCCTTTCCCACCTCCCTGAAGAAGTTTCCCACCCCTGCCATATTTACACGATAAAGATGGGAGAAAACACCTGTTCCTGAGATCACCTTTGGGAGAGGTTGTAGCCCTTCATGCTTTGTCTCCCTTCCCTGGTCAAAAGTTCCTGTGTGTTTGGTGACGGTGGACAATTCTCACAGGACAGCAAAGAGGATCTGAGACAGGAACGCGTGCCAAATGGTGCTGACCTTGCAGGCGCTTTTCCTTTTGCCTCAGGCCAAGATGATGATCAACTTCTTTTTAAAAGCCTGCTTAAGGGCTTCCCGGAGAGGCATTGAACCCAGGGCTTTACCGAGGCTGCCGCTTCTGTTTTCTTCGAGGGAGGAAGAGCGACATAAGTATTTCCTCCCCTGGAGGAGACGCCAATCTGCCTTTCTTCAGGAAGCGTCCAGTATTTGTCGAGGTGACTTCTTCCATTTTTTTCCAGCAAAAAAGCGCAACGGGTTGTTTCCCCTCTTGGCCTTTCTCTATGTTCCCTTACACACACAAGGTGGCGCTGTGCTATCGAGTTAAACCGCACAATTATGCACCATTATTTCCTTGCTCTAAAAAAGTCACAAAAATGGCTGGAAGACTTGGGAAAGGTTAGAAGATGAACATTGTGGACGATGGGAAGGCCCCCCACACTTTTGTGGATGAGGCATCATGCGTGCAAAGTAACGCTTCATGTCGTGGCAATTGCTATGTGCCATCAAGTCATCTTTGATTCATGGTCACCGTATAAAGGAAAGCCCTTCAAAATGGCCTAGGTAGGACAGCTCTGCTTTGCTGTTCTGGGTTCAAGGCTGCGTTTTCTCTGGCAAATCTTGCCTTCTCACTGAAGGAGACAGTGGGTCTGGCTTTGGTGTGCTTTGCCCAATTAAGCACAACAGGCATGAGAGAAAATTAAAACTACATTTTTCTTCTTGAGAATAAGTTTGATCACTGCAAAGTGGCAATTGACCCAGAGGTCAGAGGGCAGTCCTCTTTTATACCCAAGATGACCTGGTTGCAATGACAGATACTCACTGAAGTTCCTCATAAGCACTGATTGGCACATTTTAATTCAGGTGCACTTACCTTGGAGGCTGGGCTGAGGACTTTTGGTGCGAGATAGCTCAATTTCTGGCATTTTGTGATGCCCTGTTAACATTGAAGATGCTTGGGACATGGCTAGCCTGCTCCTGCCAGCCAGGTATGTCTGCCATCATGATACTAAATTTACTATCTTCATACTGTCATTTTGGAAGCAGGTTCAGACCACCCTTTTTGCAAAACTTTTACCAACTCCAAAAAGCACACAGGAGTAGAGGATATTGCCAGTTGCTTTTTTTGGGAGGCTTAGCAGTTTTAATTGTTAAGTTTAATTGTTAAGTTGTTAACAAATTTTAATTGTTAACTGAAATTTTATGATTTTATATTTGTTTTATATTGTACTATATTTATCAGATGTTTACTGCCCAGAGAGCTTTGGCTATTGGGTGGTAAAGAAATAATATAAACAAATAAATAAAGGTAGGAATGCTAGCTTGCATTGGAGTTGCTACTGCTTTATGAAAGCACTTCCCCATCTCCTCCCATTTCCTTGTCAGACCGCAATTGCATCTCAAAAACCTCTCAGGGTGTGCATTTACGTGGCTGTGGATTCTTTCCTCCTAGACATTTCTGCTTTTTCAGTAGCATCTGAAGTGTCCTTCCCATAGTAGTAGAAGATCCAAACTTTGATTCAAACTTTGGAAGAAACTGCCTCTAGGATGGCTAGAAATGGCAGAAAAGACTAGAAGCGCCAGCAGGGATTGAGACAACGTGAATACATTTAATTAATGTTATACTCTAGAAAAGCAGGTTGCTTACCTGTAACTGATGTTCTTCGAGTGGCCATCTGTGCAGTCACACATATGGGTACTGCGCCTGTGCAGTGCCTGTGGCCGGAAGATTGATAGCTAACGGTTTTTGGCGGGAAGCTCTGCTCCCCTCCCCCCTGTGGCCTATAAAGAGTGGAGCATCCGCCATTTTGTTCAGTCTTTGCGACCGAACGTACAATATCTTAATAATTTTAAATCTTTTTTTTTTGTGTCGGTACCGTAAAAAAGGGGGATGGTCGGTACCGAAGATGCCTTTCTCATCGACACCAAGCTGTCGATGTGTCCACTCACCGACACGGAGCGGGGCCGGCGGGTGGGTTTTGTGACTGCACAGATGGCCACTCGAAGAACATCAGTTACAGGTAAGCAACCTGCTTTTCTTCGTCGTGGCCTCTGTGCATCACACATATGGGTAGATTAACAAGTTTACCATCAAGGAGGAGGGAAGGTGTCCTCAGTGAAGAACAGAGGAGAGTACAGCTCTACCGAAGGAGCAGTTCTGTTGAGCTCGAACATCGAGACGGTAGTGCCTGGCGAAGGTGCAAGGGTTTGCCCAAGTAGCGGCTCGGCAGATGTCATCAATTGGGACCCCCGCTGCGAACGCAGACGAGGTGGCAACAGCTCTAGTAGAATGGCCTCGGGGAACTGAAGGCAGTTCGAGCTTAGCTAACTGATAGCACAAGACAATAGTGTGGACTATCCACTTAGAAAGCCTTTGTGGAGTGACTGGATCGCCCTGATCCCTAGTAGAATATTTGATGAATAGCTTATTGGATCATCGAATAGACTCCGTTCGCAATCAGTAGAAGGCTAAGCAACGGCGAACATCAAGTGAGTGCAACGATCTTTCCAAAGGGGTCGATGGTGACAGGAAAAAGCAGGCAGCACAATGTCTTGTCCTCTATGGAAAGGTGTAGACACTTTGGTTAAAAAAGACGGGTCGAGGCGTAAAGCAACCTTCTCTCTGTGAAAGTTTAGATAAGGAGGGTCTATTCGAAGAGCGCAAAGTTCACCGGCCCTCAGGGCTGAAGTGACAGCTACAAGAAAAGCTGTCTTCCAAGAAACCAATTGCAGATCCACCGTCGCTAAAGGTTCAAAGGGGGCCTTCATAAGGGCCTGCAGAACTACAGAAAGGCTCCATGTGGGCATAACCGGTCTAATTGATGGGTTAAGATTATATAGTCCCCTCAAGAATCTCTTGAGGATAGGATGAGAAAACAGGTGATCCGTCGACTAATCCACGGTGGTAGGCTATTGCGGCTGTATAAACTTTAATGGACGAACGCTTCAATCTGGAATGGTGCAATTCCAGAAGGAACTGAAGAATTTGTTCAATAGATGAGAGGAATGGGGAGAACGAACGCGACTCGGCAAAGGTGGAAAAACGTTTCCATTTAGCCTTATATGACTTCCTTGTGGACGGCTTTAAGGCAGAGTCGATGATATGCTGAATATCAGGGTGCAAAAATGTCGGATTCGAATTCGACGGGTCTTGTCTCGAACTGGATGGTGCAGAGAGATCAGAGAAAGGGGAAGCACCCGAGTGATTGGATTCGACAATTGGATCTGAGGTGGTCGAAGTCATCGTCGGTACCAATAGATTAATAGAAGCTGTCGGATTCATAACTCTCGAAACAGTCGTCAGTATTGATGGAACGTCAATCATTGAATTCGCCATGCTGTTAGGTTCAATGAGAGCAAGTCCGGGTGGCGAAGTGTGCCGTCCACCTGTGTTATAAGATATGGGAGCGATGGAAGATGAAGAAATTCCCTGCGAGAGATGTCGAGTAGTTTCGCAAACCACGCTTGACCTGGCCACCAAGGGGCAACTAGTATCCCCGATGCCCGGTCGTGTACGATCTTTGCTATGACCTTCATCAGAAGAGGGATCGGAGGGAAGGCATAGAAATGCATGTTGTTCCAAGGGATCATGAATGCGTCCCCTAGGGACGCGTGTCCGATTCCCGCTCTCAAGCAGTAAGCCTCGCACACCCTGTTCTGTTGGGTAGCGAATAAGTCCACATCGGGGAACCCCCAGCGCCTGAAAAGGTGGTTGCGCGTATAAGGGTCCAGTTTCCACTCGTGAGAGGTGAACATGTGCCTGCTGAGAAGGTCCGCGTGCACGTTGTCTATGCCAGCCACATGAACAGCCATCAGCCGAT